GGTGCCGGTCCTTCCAGGCTTCCCATGACGGTTCCCGACCACCTTGCTGTAAATGGCACAGGTCACGCATGTAGCTTTGCAGACAGCTTGGGAAGCACTCTTGGAAATGTCTGATGGTTGCTGCCTCCATTGTTTACTTTGTAATGGCCTCTTTGGGCACACAGCAGCTAGCTAGTGGGCTGCAAATGACTGCCACCTTTCGTCCTTAGCCTGCAGCCGAACACCTTACCAGAGGCACAAGGGCTCCTAAAACCAAATACCTAATCACTTAGTTCTGACTCAGAAACCCTATATATATGTACCCTATGTATATATATATATATATACACACACACACATACACACAGTGTGTATAACATTCATGGGGACAGCAGAGATGGCTGCATGACCTGGGTGGAGTCACTTGAAGACTATAGGGCAGAATAAAAACCATCTTCTGGCTCCTTCCATAAAAACCTCATGGCTATTAAATCAGGCCATCATGGGTTGGAGAGGCTTGGTTGCATAGTGGTTTCAAGTTGGGCTAACCTTGAGGTGAGTAGTTTGAAACACCAGCTTCTCTAGGAGAAAGACAAGGCTCCCTCCCTTAGTCTCCAGAACCCATAGGGCTGAATGAGGCAGAACTGGCTGGTGTTCTGGGAATGTTGTGGTTGCTGCAGACCAAGGGGGAGGCATGAGTAACCCTATCCAAAGGAGCTCTACTCTGCCAGTCTGTTGCTGTGTTTAGGGCCAACCTTAGGGTTAGCAGCCAAGCACTATATACACACACCTAGAACTGACAGGAAGTTACCCATCTTTCTACAATTAGGTGAGTGAATTTCTGCCCCTTGTGCCAGAAACAGGAAGTTCAGATTCTCCATCTACAGAGCCTTCTGGGAAGCAAACATCAACATCAACAGGTAGGCTTGGCCAAGTCCAGTACATGGGCTGGGGTAGGGGGGATGAGGGCTTGAGCAGCCGCTGCAGTTTTGTTTGCTTACTTTTTAAACAGAAACTCTTCCAACTCTTAGAGCTGTGCCTGAGAGTTTACAAGAAGCATTTTTTAAAAAGAAAAAACTATTTATTGCAAGATCAACTCTGAGACAGAAAGAAATAAGGGACCGTGCTATAAGAGTCACTGAAAACCCTCCAGTAGTGAAACCTACAGGTATGTTGCAACTAGGTTCTTGTCCTAAGGGCTTTTCTCCATTAAAAATACTGACATAACAATGTATTCTCTCAAAGGCTCTTCTGTAAACCAACTGAAAAGTAAAGTCTCTCTCCCTGAAGACAGAAAATCAGAAGAAGCCCTCATGTACCAAAGGACTCTGAGGTAACTTGGTTTAATGTAAACTTTCAAATTCCTTTCATATTGTCTGTCAATCTAATTCTGATTTTTTTATAGGTCATACAATCAATTAGCTGAAGTGAAACAGCAAAGGGAAAGAAAGGCAACACAAGAAGCTTATGCCCAAAATAGAGCGAGGGCTAGAGAATTCCATAAGGTGTGTGTGTGTGTGTGTGTATATGTGTGTTCCCAGGGCCACTTTTTAAAGGTAGCCAGACCTTTCATTCTAATTGGTTGTTTTTTTTTTCATTCGCCCACAGAAAACATTAGCGAAACTTCGAGCCAGAAATACACGCTGATTTTCTGCACTGTAAACATTTTTGTTTTATAGATTTTATTTAATATTAATAAATTTTATTTAAGGAGTTTTACATATCTTTGTCATCCATTGGTTCCTCTAAATCTTGCAAAAGTTCAAGATAGCCCTGGTAAGAAAAAAATTACCCCTTGGTTGAACTTGGCACATGTTTTTATAAACTCCTGTGGAGATACATGGTTACATTCAGGAAACAGCACTGTGGAGGTCGATGGCATTCCGTGGAGACTATCTGTGGTCACGGCGTTAAGAGCTCTTGATCTCAGTTCCATAAGCCCGCTTTGAAATGACCTGACTTTAAAGTGCGCTCACCTTTGTAAGGAGCCACGAGCCACCATTGTCTAGTAAGCATTAATCTCAGACCTTGAAAAAGCAGAAACAAAATTTTACTGAGTATAAGGCTTATAGAAAATGTGTAGCTTCAATCTTTTTGTAGTGTAGTGTACATTTCAGCAATGTCCCCAATCGGTTATATGCTAGCAAGGTAGCAAAAACAAAAACCTCCTGGGAAATTGTCTATGGTCATGTCCACAGCAAATCAGAAACCACATTCTAAAAGCCTTGGTAATGACCACTGTAGACTGGAAAACAGTTTATAAAGGGAAACCAATTACCTGTTAATACTTCTGGTTACACCACTTTAACCTCCATTATGGACAAATGTCAAACATTTCATGCCTATGAAAAAAAGATCAAATTAGTATCTATCTACACTGCAAATAGAAACCCAATACAATTTTTTATGCATTAAAATTGTTTTTGGAAACAATACATAGGAGAAATTAAAGAAGTTGAATGTTCCCATTTGCATCTGGACCAACAGACACAAATGTTCTGGTTACTACTTGCAAGCATTTTTTTCTCAGACATCGTGTCTTTTATTTTAAACCACGTTTTATTGGTATAATTGGCATATCAAATAGTTCAATGACATCAAGAGCTAAGGCTTTTTCCTCCTCTTGTACTCAATTGTTAGCTCCCCCTTTACCCCTATCTACCCTGCCATATGTATGCCCAAGGAACCATTACAAATGACACCAGGAGGGGAAGGTGGGGGGAGGTAAGGGGAGCCGATCTCAATGACTGACATAACTCCCTCCCAGTGGAACGTTCAACAGAAAAGCGCGTGAAGATTGACAGTGGTTGTTGTAAGGCATGAAAAAAAATAATTCATAAATTATCAAGGGTTCATGAGGGAGGATGGGGGAGGGGGGAAATTAGCTGATCCCAAGGACTCAAGTAGAAAAATGTTTTGGAAATGATGGCAACCTATGTAACAAAGGTGCTTGACACCATGGATTGTGAGAAGAGCTGTGAGCCCCCAAAATAAAAGGTGCTTTTTTTCACATATTACTTGAGACCAATCTTTAATGTACATGGATGTTCAGAAAGGCCATTTTCACTCATCCTATTCAGAGCAGTTGAACAATTTGCCTGTCATCATAACATCCCGTCACAGAATGTATACATTGAGTAATTAAGGAATTAACATGTTTCTATATCATTAATAAAGTAGTGATGATAAAACACTATGCTACCAAGACTTTGAAATAAATCTAAGAACCATGATGCTGAAATAAAATTTGCGGGTGGGGGGGGCGGGCGCAAAAATGCTAACATGATTTAGAGCCAACCGTTTGCCTTTTTGAAATAATATCATACCTGAAAATTCTGTTATTCCCTTTAGGGCCCTAGAAGTAGAAAGTACATTTATGTTTTGGGAGTAAATAGTATTAGTGCTAAATATTTCTACATTGCTAACTTTTAGTATTGCTTGAGCAAAGTGTTACAGGTCTCATTGTCACCACTGAAATTAACCCACAGTGGTGGAAGCAAAACCTGTCATCCTTTCAGCCACAACTGCTTGTCTGGACACCGTGATCAGCTGTGCCCACTTTCACAGACTGAGGCTGCATGCAAGCAGTTCCTCAGCGCTACACTTCTACATGCATGCAGGAAGTTTGTTGCTAAGGAACAGCCAACTGCTAAGACAAGAACAGAAAGCCTTACATACATCTTTGGATCTCATTCATTCTGCCTTCCTCTCAATTTCAGATACCCTACAAAAAGAAAATAATCAGTTCCTAACATTTTATCAACAAGCAGGTTATCATTCAAAGGAATTATGTGAACTGTATCAATAGAAATACCAGGTTTAACATGCACAAAGCCAAGAAAACCAACGATGCCAGATACTGAATTTCTATTGCACTGTCCTTTGAACACCCCAGCAGGAAAAGGCTGCTGGATGCAGATACCATGCAGTGCTGTGAGGTCTGCAGTTTACAGGCATACTGTGATAGGTAAGGTTCTTGTGCCAACCTGGCCAGTAGGAAATTAGGTCTCCCCCCCCCCCCCTCTGGTAATCTGATCAGCGTGCATTGCCTTAACTTGTGAGCTACACTGCCTGTGTACCTGCTTCTACACACTGCTGGTGCATATTATCTCTTAACCTGGGGACTGTCATTTCCTGTCATCTGGCTGACTGTTGGAGATCCACCCTGCTGTTTGCTGGCTAGTCTGCCTGCATTGCTCTCTGGAAGACTCAGCTGTCTGCTTCTTTGACCTTGAACCCAGCAGCCCTATTGAGTTGAACTGAGCCTTCTGTACTGCTATGTGGACTAATTAGCTGTTACATTCCTTTGTGCTAAACAGATCTATAAAACCGTTATCCTGGTTGTTTCCTTGTCTAACACACATACTGATCTCAAAAATAATGTCTTAAAATACAGCATTCCTATAATAGGCACTTGGCCTTTAGCCTTCATTATTCCAAAAGAAACATGAAGTTCATTTTAATCAACCAACCTATTCCATCTTGTCTTCCTACATGTAAACTTGAGGCTTCAAAAAAATTATTGGGAAAATGCAAAGGATGGAATGACATTATTTCCCAAAATCATAATTATGTAGTTTATTGCTAAACTATGGAATCACTTAATCAGCATATTGGACTTACCTGAACACTGAGTTGTAATCCCTGGCAGTCCCTATGGTGACAATATTAAAAAAAAAGATTTAAAATTACTTGATTGTTAAGTTTAATAAGTGCATTCTTGGGTTCTATCAAGCTCAATCAGAATGAAGATTTTAGTTCATGTCTGTATCATTCAGCAGTTGAACAGTTAAATTCATCACATGAACTATATGTACCAGTATGCTGAAAGATGACATTTGAAGTCAGTTTAAACTTACCTAAGAAATGTGCAGATTACACCAATACCTAGGATCAAAACCAAGTACCTATTAGATTGTTCCTACTATCTACAAATTTGTCTTGTAGTTCTTCCTCACAGATCCAACCAATAGCAGTTCTGCGAGTAAAGCAAACCACAGAGTTACTCTGTGAGGCGTTTCCAACGATGTGGGTCTACAGACAAGGCCCCATCGGGATAGACCTCAACAATCAAGAACACAGTCCAATGAATACTAATGATTTGTCATCTGCCCTGCCCTGATTTTCTCATTAACACAAATTGCAAAAAATAACCAAAATTCTTATAGATCTCAATCACTCAAGAATAAATCGATCACTGTGTACTTAGTTATGTTCTGACAAAACAAGTGCAATTACAGTGAGCTCAGCCTTTCAACTTAGTGGGGTCATAGTTCAAAACTTAGGCTCAACTGAGGAGTCTCAAAGAAACGGTTTACCAAGGTGCGCATCTCAGCTTATAGAAGCCATGGGATGGATGAGTCGATACTTGTTACTCTGACCTCTCAAGCTTTGCCCTGCACCTTTCACCCACAGGGGTTAGGGGAGCCAGCAAGGCTATCAATTACAAAATCCACCGTGAATCATTGGTGAGGCTCACTAAGGTTAGAGAAAATCCTTAAATGTGCAGGTGTGGTGATCTGAGTGGGTCCAGTGGATCCCAAGGTCAAGGTGTTGACCTAGCCCAGGGTGGCTGGGGATCAAGTACCACTTGGGGCTGCTTGTGATGAGAAAGGATAATTTTGTAAGGTGAGGCCTAAAATCACTTTCCATATGGGAATTACGATGCAAGATCAGTAATGATAGTAAGGGACTAACACAGGGAACTTTACAACTAAATTATTTACATTTCAGAAATAAAGCCATTTCCACTATACTATATATTCTTGAATATCCATTGCAAGAACATAAAATATAACTTAAATCCCTATGATCCTTTTTAAGTTTTCTAGCTCTCCTAAAGATAGAGATGGTGCCCTACTTTTATGATGAAATATTTAGAGATCAATGTATGACAATTAGACTCCTCCCCGCAAAGGTCTAGTAAAATGCCAATATAGTTTAAAATTACTTGACATTGTACACTGACAACTGATTTTAAAAATTTCATGCTTAAAAGCATTAGACATACCTGAAAGTCCAGGCATCAGGTTCAAGATAAAATGTCTAAAAAAAATGGAGACAATCTTAATGTTTCATGGTAATAAGTAAGATTAGAATGTTAAAATGCAGCCAAGATAGCCTTTATGACCTACTCTACTGCTCGGGTAAAACGTAAGTTCCAATACACAACAGCTTTAAATGCCCATTGTCATGTCGGCACATTCCTTACCTGGTTGATGTTTCGTCTGAAGCCCTCAAAAGCAAGTCCTGGGAAGTGTCCACAACTGTCAAGACACTGTGCTCTAGTAACTGGTTTAATGACATGTCCCTTCTTATCTGTATCAAAACTCATACTGCACAATGAGTTTTGGGTTGCAAAAGAGGATTTATTCTTGCACCTGTCTTTGAGTGTTTGTCCACTAATTAAACAAACACAAACACAAATGCAGTTATACAACTGTAGGATATGACCCTATATAAAAGCAGAGTATTTACATACATACCCTAATAGGATACAGTAGATGGGATCACCCAATGGGGCTTCATGATTGCAAATCTTCAGAGGCAAACAAGGCTCTCCTACTCAGCAGCCACAGGTAGTTTACTTAGCAGCCAAGGACTTTACTTACACAGCCAGTGTCCCCTTAAATTACTATAATAGGCTGCTGACAAGTATAAATATGAAAATTAGCACTTGGGAGTTTTAGGTGGTTGGCATTTGTATGGGAAGCCATTTGCAAAATGAAAATTGCAAATAAGCAGGTACCACAGAATTTGTGCCAAGCTGTCAGCCAATCAGACTTTTCTCTGCAGGGCGGTTTCAAAATCTCAACTAAATTGGTGCAGTGTTGAAACACTATTTCTGAAATAAAACACTATCAGCAAGCACAGTCAGAATACTTCTAGCAAGTAATTTCTCTGATATCCAGATTTTCCTACATAGAGCAGCTCACAGGTATAAAATATAGGCTCCATTCTACTAATCTCTTCCAAGAATCTCATCAATGTTGGCATGTATGCCCACGTCTCAGCGCCTTCCTGGGAACAAGGGCTTTTTCTTTTTACCTCATTTGACATTTTTATTCTTGACTCCGTTCAGGTCATTTCCGTCCTCTTTTTTGCCCAGTATCTTTGTTTTAGAAACTTCCTTCCTAAACAATGTAACATCTTCAGTATTGTCTTCGTCTAAATTTGCCTTCCTCTTCTTTGGGAATTCACAACTTATTATAAAGCAATTATCTTCCTGTATAAAGTAGAAAACACAACGGTGATTGGTTACTTCAGTAGTACCTTGTGCCTGTATCTAGAGCTAAGACCCACATTAACTCATGCAAAGCCTGGCTTGTTTGGGGGAAAACTTGTCTTTCCAAAACAAAATGCAAGCATTTTGAAATTTACGCAGTATTTTGAAAAGTAAGCTTTCTACGAAAATACAAGATAAAAGTAGAAATCACCTACCACCAATTTGATATCACAGTCATCACTACATTCCAGGGTTGGATCCTCATCCTCAGCCCTGCAGTGTTTAAACACATCATCAGGTCATAAATGACAAATTAATTTATGACTGACTTGTTAAGTACGACCAAAGTGCTATATGTATATATGCTATAACTCCACTATCTCCTTTGGTGCCCAGGTATATAATAGCTACTGATAGCATAAAACTGCGAGTGCTGGTGGCACGTTGGGCTGCTGTGAGGTTGCAGGCTCCAGGCCCATCAGCCACTGCAGGAGAAAGATGAGGCTTTCTGTTCAAACCCATAGGGTCGCTATGAGTCAGAATCAATCACTGGGGTAGCCCTGCTTGGTTTTGTAGTTTGGATGGCATAAAAACACGATGTGTCAAGGGAAGGATGATGGACCTCACAAGAAACAGAATTCTCAGGTTAGGAAGAGAATGTTTCTGGTGGCAGTAAATCTACTAATAAAACCGCTTGAGCAGGGGAATAAATGATGCCCTGCACCTACAGGCGGCATTCCCTTATCCCCTTTTAACTCTTCTCAGTCAGAAATGACCATCCAACTGCTATTTTAAAACTGGCGTTCTCTCCATCATGAATTGGGGTGTTCATAGATGTGAACAAGAAACTTGAGGGAACCTAAGCTGATGGCCTACCAAATCTGTTTTCCCATCAGTCTGTTGACAAATTAATGGGAAAATTAAGAATTAGTATTACAATAGGAAATGATTTGATCATTCCAATGACCAAATGATTTTACATGCTTCAACTTACAAAGGCTCTTCAATAGGAGATATGGATCCATCATCATCCAAGTATTTATATCTGCGACTATCAAGGTCTTCTTTTTCTAAATCTTCTCCAACATTCATTTGTTTCAAAGATTCCTTGAGGTGATATTCATACTTCAGGTTTTCAACATACTTGAAAAATCCTCTTGCAACGGCTTGCTATAAATTAAAATGACATTAAGGCACCACATTCTGGTCTTTCACAAGACATTTTCCTTCCCGACTCAGAAGATGACTAGACTTAAATGGGGGAAGAGAAAATGCTTTGCCAGTGGATATGTACCAAGAACTGATTATTGAATTACCATCACTACAATTTTCAGCAATTACCAGGCAACTATCAGCCTTGTGGGGTTGACTGCTGCAAAACTATTACAGGTTTTAGATCAGTTGTACTCAACCTTCTGAATGCCGCAATCCTTTTAATAGTTTGTAGTGACCCCCCCCCAAAAAAAACATAAAACCACTTTCATTGCTACTTCCTACCTATAATTTTGCTACTGTTATAAATTGGGCAACCCCTATGAAAGGGTCGTTGGACCCCCAAAGGGGGTCACGACCCACTGGTTAAGAACCGCTATCTATAGCGTTATTGTTTTCAAAGCTACAGGTTAGATGTATACATAAAACTTATAGGGTAAAATATTTTCCTGGTATGCTAAGAATCCTAAAAGTAGCCCAACAAACTTCCAACTGAAATTTGAGCTGTGCAGATAAGACCAACTCACTTCAAATGTTAAAATTTTTTTCCATGGAAGGGAGTTTCTTCCATTTTCCGATTCTAAAAACGAGAAACCAGTGCCTCGATCTTTAAATTGCTTTTGATCAATTTGTGAGCTTTTCCTGCTTCTGCCTCCTGGTGGTCTTCCCCTTGGTCTTCCTGTTGCCTTGTATTTCTTCTTCTTTCTTTTGCGTTTCTTTGCTTTAAATCTCTCAAACACTGCTTTTAAGGTCAATGGTCTTGGTTCCCAAGAGGAATCACTAGAGGAATCTCTTGCCCAAGCACTGTCAGCAGGCACGGATCTTCTTTGAGGGCTTTGTCTCCTCCGCTTGGGTGAAGGAGGCACACACTGAGTTTTAAATAAGCTGCTACCAGAAGATTCAGAGTCATCACTAGAAAAAGAAAACACTGAATTGAATGCTACTTTACTAATACTGTATTCTCATGATATTCCTAAAGCAAGGAGACATAGCCAGCACTAATTATATTAAAGGGGTAAAGGTAAGTGGTCCTCCGAGCCCTGGTCCCACAGTGGTTCCTTGTTGGCCTGTGATCTTCAAGAGCCAGTTTAAAACCAACAGCTGCTTCTCAAGAAAAGCAGGGCTTTCTACCCCGTCTTGAACTTATGGGGGCAATTCTGCCCTGTCTTACGGGGTGTGTCAGTCTGGGAAGACTAGAGAAACAAATCCACAGACACACCTGTGTAAGGAAAGGGATTTGTACACAAGAGCAATTGAACATTGACAAAACATCCCAGTGCAGTCCAGATCAAGTCCTTAAGTCAGACATTAGCCCATATGTCTGATGCCAATCTATAAAGTCCTTCTGACTCACGAAACACATGCAATGACACCAAATGTAGAAGATCACAGGCCAGTGGGTAAAGTCCTTGGAGCCAGTGGCATTGGAGACATCTCAGTGCTGGCAAGGGTCTCTGCATCAGGGTGGGCCCATGTGTCTTGTCAACTGCTGTCTCCCAGGGTGTTCAGTCTCCCACCTCCAAGGAGGGAATACTAGATTTCCCAGAATTCTCAGAAGGCCGTGCCCAGAGGCCTCATTAGCTATGAGCTGATTGAGAAACTAGACTCCACCCCTACCTACACTCTTAATCCTCACTGACAAACGCCAGACTTGATGGTAATGATTTCTGAAGACCAGATAGCTTCAAAACAACTGACACAACTCCATATTCACAGCACGTAGATAAATATAAATTTCTATCTCGCTTCACTGCTATAGCCCCTTTAAAACAAGCATGTGTGACACGAAGACCCCACTGCTGCAGAGACAATTCTGATTCAACAGCCCCATAGGACTCCAAGGAGGACTGCCCCAAGAACAGACATCCTCAGCGCCCAGCCCCACCCCCAGGGAATGGCTGGTGCTAATCTTGAATTCAGCAGCCCAAGGCATAACCTAGTACAGAACACCCTAGATATGGTTTCAATTCCAAACCCCGACCCCCAATGTATAAGATACTAAATACCTACATTCCATTGTATTTATGCCAGCACCCTTTATTATGTGATACTAAGGTTATTTTTAAGGTTGATGTTTGCTTCGATATAAAAACCAAGCAATTTAATCAGGATTTCAGACATCAAGAAAGCCAGGTGCCACAGGGCTGAGGATGCATCCCGTTCTTGAATATACTACAAACAACCCAATCAATCACACAGAATGAAACTAACTTTGAAGGTCCGTGCAAACCAAGCTTTTCAAAATCTTTCCTAATCAACAACTCATAGGATGCCCTGATGTCACAGTGGGTGTGCAAGGTCAGCAGTTACTCTGGGAAAGATGAAGCCGTCGTCTGTTGCTGTAAAGGCTTACAACCTGAGAAAGCCAAAGGGAGCAGAGTTCTAGTCGGTCCTTTCAGGTTCACTGTGACTCAAAACAGACTCAGCAGTACCTTGTGATGACCTATGCTTTGTCAATTTCTGAGCCTCAGGGGATTTGACCAGCAACTCAATTTCAGTTTTTCAGCATTTTCAGTTAACAAACGGGCAGCAGTTTAAAGTTGATCTGAAGAACACACTTACCTTTGATTGGCAAATTCCTCAGGGGCCGTTAAATCTGATGTCATTGTGTAGTGGGGAGAATTAAATCCCGTAACAAATTATCCAGGCCCCTCAGTAAAAAGTATTAAGCCCTGAAAATAAAAAAATTCCAAGTATGATGTAGATTCCCAGTGTTTCAGGGGAGAGACACTAAGCACCTTTATAGAAAAGTTAAGCGTTGTGAGGTGTAGAATTAGCTGGTGAATTTAAGCACATATGCTATCAGTCAAGGTTTCTACTCATTTTCAATCAAATCCCAAACCAACAGGCTGGTTTCATCCTGCCTTTCGTATTGCACTCAATGGAAGAGTCCACCTGTACTGTCAGTCCATCAAAAGACTCCAATATTATCCCTACCTTCAGTAAGGCCAGGCACCACTTAATGAATGGCCGGAACTGCCTACACAGCCTAAGCGCAGACTGTGGATCACCAAGGTTCCTCATAGGAACCCATGAACATTTAACATCGGTATTCAAATTAAGTTTTAAACGAGGTTTCCATTTCCACCACATTCTGAATCAGAATGGGCACTTAGATTCACTTGTGATTCTGATACAGTAAAGTAACAGTTAGCAATCCTACTTTGCACACCAGGCTTGTATATAGTCCCTAAAGAGCAAGTCTTTAGCATAACTGTAAAAGAACGTAAACGGTATAAGTGCTCAAGGGACCTGTATAATCTCAATACAGTTGAGATGCACATTTCTAAATCCAAAATTCTAAACTTGGCTGAAAAATCTGCTCAACCCCAAACTCAACAATCAGGGAAAATCGACCCTAGTTGCATACATTATGATCAAATGATAAAAAAATAAAACGTTTAAAACAGCCAGATTATCAAAATTAAGCCTACCCAAAAGCCACATTCTCGAGCTCTGGGGCTTCCTACTACTCTGTCTTCCCATTCAAGAATTCAGCCATTTTGGGTGGCCACGTGGCCAACAGCATCCGTGACCAGGATTCTAACTTAAAATATTAAAGCGCTTCGTTGTGGAAGGCTGCAGCTTACAGTGGGAGCCTAAACACTCCTTTTCGACCCTATTGGGGTTCTTCCAGATCACCAGCCAGAGAAACGCAAGTCTTTCTACAAACCAAGTGCCAAGGGGGAGAAATGGCGTCAATTAACAAGTCCGAGATGGGAAAACGCTCTAACATCTCCTCCCAGGCGCAACGAGACAGGCCCGTAAAGAGAATAACCCGTGCTTGGGCCGCTGCCCAGGCACCAGGCCCGCAGAAGCACTGAGCGCCGAATGTGTCTCGTCCTGAGCAAAACCACACAAGCAGCCGGGCCCTCGTCCGAAAGAGCCGGGGAGGACGTCTCAGTGAGCGCCAGCCCAGCCCACGTCTCGCCAGGAGCCCCCGCTCACTCGGCGCGGGGCTCGATGGACGTCCGCAAGCACATTCCCGCGCAGACACGGCGGACACAAACCACCTACCTCTCCACAGCCGTGCGGGAGAAACGGACGAGAAGATCGCGGCACCCGCCTAAGAATGGGACCGAAATCTCGCGATACTAAGGGACGCCGGGACCAACGTGACGAGGGCGGAGACGAGACGCCAGGCTGCCCCCTCCCGGGGGTGTGGCTACAGGGGGCGGGGCGGAGCGCTTCCCTAAAGGAGGCGGGGTTGTCCGGGAGAACGGCGGCGGTGAAGGTGGAGGCCTCCGTGACCCTGTTGGGTAAGTGCAATAGCCAAGAACATTCTGACAAATGACAGACACTGCACATCAAGTGAGCAGAATTCACGCAGACTGCGAAGAAGAGCTTAGAAACCTGGTTTGGTTCCCGTAGTATCGCCTTTGCTCCGCTGTTTTCTGACTTTCTTGTGTCTTTCTCGTTTGCAAGACTGTAAAATTCTAGGTTGGCGGTTTTTGACATATACCTTTGCCTTCAAATACCCGTTTTGTGTTGAAATACTAGGTAAAGATCATGCTTTGTCCAGGATCGAATGTGTCACCTTTGTACGGGAGCTCAGTCTTACTCCAGAACACACCGGTTCCCTTCCAGAAACCTTCGGACTTGTTTTGATAACTCCACTTTTCACTCTGAAAGGGTC